TACTAACAGATATAGCCGTTGCACTCTGCGGTGTTGCCGTGTTAGAAGCAAGTTGGCATGAACCACGACATACATCCTTATTAATTGGTCATTAGTACATGTTGGAAGTACTCAACGGTCATCCTGACAGGATCTATGACAAGTGCCGCATGGACAAAGACTGTTTTACATTGTTATGTGATTTTTTGTCCGATCAAGGCAAATTGCAACCAACTAGGAGGACGAGTTTGGAAGAACAAGTTATGATATTTCTAACAATCGTTGAAAAAAACGAGATAATCAGAACGATGATGGAGGATTTCCAACATTCGGGTGAGACGATCTCTAGACATGTTACCGCAATTTGTGACGCTATATGTGAGTTGAAGACAGAGTTTATCAGACCATCTTACTTCAATGATGTTCCATGGGAAATATCAGCCAACAGAAAATATTACCCTTTCTTTAAGGTACTGGTTCATTATGTTTGCTATTAGTAGATAGTTAAGTTCATTGTGTTATTAATTTGTTTAGTAGGTTAATATTAGTAAAATGCCCCATTTTCATGATAGGACTGTATTGGAGCCATGGATGGCACACATGTATACGCTTCGATTCCATGTGAATTTGCCGATAGGTACCAGAATCGCAAAGGATCGATGTCACAGAATGTAATGGCTGTATGCAACTTTAACATGATGTTCACTTATGTCGTTACTAGATGGGAAGGATCTGCGCATGATTCAAGAGTTTTAAATTCAATTATTGATAATCCTAATTCTGGATTCCCACATCCTCCAACAGGTATAAGTATTTTCTTGACGTATTATAGCGTATTACCTCCACTGTTGTGGCCCTGTAATTCAAATAAAATGTCTGATATTATTACAGGGAAATACTGTTTGGTTGATGCAGGTTATCCAAATAGAGATGGGTTCCTCGCCCCTCATAGACGAGTGGCTTACCATATTTCTGATCACCGTCGTAACCGAAGGGGGCCACAAGAGTTGTTTAACTACATACATGCTTCACTCCGCAATGTTATTGAGAGAACCTTTGGTATTTTGAAAAGACGGTTCCGTATTCTAAATGGAATGAACAATTACCCGTTGGACAAACAAGAGGAGATTGTTATGGTATGTTGTGTACTTCATAATTTTATCAGAATGTACAATATGGACAACCGTATCTTCGAACAAACCAATAATAGTACGGGTAATGAGCAAATAAATTGTGATCGTCAAAATGGGGCAGAATATGGCCGAAATGGAGAAGGACCGAGTTAACCGCAACAAGGTATTATAGACAACATGACGACTATACGAGATAACATAAAGAATGCACTGTGGGTGGCACAGTGGACCATGTCGTAGTTGTTAATGGAGTATACGTGTAATAATGATTGTAAGGGCTGATAATTAGTACTTTTGTCATATATGTATTAATGTGATTTTTTAAACAGTTGGATTAGTACTTGAAATTAATATGAGTTTTTGTTTTTTAACATCTACGGGTGACAAAATTACTAATAAAATATTTAGTATTATTAAAATGTAATTTGATAAGTTATATATATATAATAATACATTATTTTAACAAAGTGCAACAAAATATTATATTAATAAATCATTTATAAAAAAATACATTAAGAAAATATTCAATACAAATATCAAGGTCAAAATAATTTTTCAAACACATATCCTGCAAATCCTATTCTCGTAATTATAACCCTATCCAACTATCCAATACTACCCCCAAAATCTTATCCAAAATAATAAACCAAACGCACCCATCATTTTTCTCGTCATCTCACCTAATCCCAACAATTTGCAAGTAAATCACGTTTTAATTTAAAAAAAATACATTCACGTGGAGTACATGAATCTTCAACATTAAGTTATAAATTAGTGTAATATATTTAATTCTCATAATGAAAACTGTATTCATAGCAATTTTTTTTTTTTTTTTTTTTTTTTATACTATAGACTAGAAAGAAATCCGATTTAACAATAGTTTATAACATAAAATGATATTATGTGATATTTTTTAAATAATACTATATTCTAAATTATGCGTTTTCTAATATTCAATTTATATAAGAATAAGATGAGATAATGTGATAACTTATTATTTGGAAATTGGAATTGAAGTCAAGGAAGGGTGAGCATTAAGGAAAATATATATAATTATTTAAAAAGCACTTAATTATTTAAAAACTATTAAGCAAATAATATTTAATTTTAAATTCAATGATTTCAACCTTTCAACTAATTCTCTTGAATAAAGAGGCATAAGCATCAATCAACATCTTGAAAATGTCAAAATATTTGGGCCTAAATTAAACCCAATTGACCCATTTCCAAAGTACAAAGTAGTTAAATAGTCGTGTTTTTGTTAAAAAAATTGTACCCTTTGCATGCCATAACTATACACAAATTTAATTATTTGAGTAACCATCTAACTCTTTCTTTACTTTCTGAGATGTTTTCATTATTTAAAAGGAAACTTTTAGTTTTGGAATGGAATGAGCAGTAGCGAGATTGCCACAATTTAAAGGAAATAACTCATCAATTGGTTCAATAGCTTTCCACCAAATATTTTATCCATTTCCTACTCCACCTTAGGTGTTTATATCTATAAAATAAAACAATGTTTGGTTTAATAATGTGTATACTTATAATTATAATGTAACTTCAAATGAAAGTAACATTTTAAATAAAATATTAGAACCGCCAAAAAGTATTTGCAAGATACATGAAACCAATACAATTGAATGAACACAACGTCTCCAAGTTGTCCGGGAGCTATCAGTAAAACTGTTTCTTAAAAAAGAAATAAAAATATAAAATTAAATTTAGTCAATTTCTGGATAAACTTTTCTACTGGGTGATTAAAATCAGTTGACAGATTACCGATATAATTTAATTAATTAATAAAGGAAAATTAGTAATTTGTGAAGCAAACCTTACCTGTTGATAATAGTACTTTAATTACATATTAGTCCATTTCAAAATTTCAAAGTCACCTCCTATTCCTAACACAAAGACATTCCAACTATTTTATTTCATTGTTCCAATGGCAGTCGGGTGGACTAAACTTGTTATGCACAAGTTAGTTTAGTCGGGCATTAACTATATGGTAAAATAATATGGGGCGTTTGGTTAGAAGTAATATAAGATTATTGAGGTTATGTCATTTTATATTATTTGATTATCATGTTTGGTTGTTAAATAATATAAGATTTCGGTAATTTTACATTACCAATAGTTATTACTGTTAGTAATATTAGAGGTAATTTGATTATCTCAATTTTCTTAGGTATTGTAAGATTACTAAGATAATCTTATTTTTGTTACAATTTTATTCCTTATTAATAAAAATTTTGGACAATAATACCCCTACTTTAAAATCAATTTACATTAATATAATATTTCAATTTTACCCTTGTTTAATTAAGTTTTTGGATAATAATGCCCTTATATTTAAAACAAATTACAGACCACTGTCGACAGCAGGCCAACCACCACGGACCGCTGTCAGGAAGTCGTCGGAGTCCCTAAAAATGACCGAGAGTCGCTGGGAGGCTTCGCTATGACTATTTCTAACCATATTGATGGTTGAAAATTGCCATATCAGGCTAGATCTGACCGTTTTTTGCCATCAATATGGCTAGAAACGGCCATATTGGAGCCTCGCGGTCACGGGGACTTTTGATGACTTTCGGCGGTGGTTTGTGATGGCGGCAGTAGGGGTTGGAGGTGATTTTGTCATAAATTAAAGTTTTATATAGGCGGGGTGTTTTAACTAAATCTGAAATATTGGGGGTTAAAAAAATTATTCAAAAATTAATAATAAAAGTAATATTATATTAATATTTTAAAAAGAGGGCAATTTAGTAATTTAAATAACACACCCACCAATTTATTCCCCCTAACCAAACATTAATATAACATACTCATCAACTAATCAAACATATTTTCCTAAAGATTCCTAGTAATCTTTAAGATAATATAAGATTCCAGTAATCTAACATTCCTAATAATCCAACATTCCATAAACCAAATGCGCGCGCACGCACACGTACACACACACACACACACATGCAGAAAACTTGTATTATTCAATAAGATCAACCACTCGAACATGAGCAATCTTCAACTTATTATTTCTGCAGCTTTCAATTAGAACAAGACAACGTGTAATCTTTAATTCCTTGAGGAAGTAAGGTGTTTTATCCCTTTTGGAAGAGATGAAAACCTAGGGCATTTTGTAATCACAAGTTTTTCAAGTGATGTGAGATTTTGAAACCACTCTGATAGTGATAAGTATCTGCACTTTCAATCCGCATGTACTTCAAAGTGTTAGCAGATGCTTGAAGAAGAAGCTAGGGAAAATCCACCAATGATTCTAAATCATCAATTATGAATTTTTAAGAGTCATCCTTAGCTTATGATATTCTCCTTACAATTCCATCTTCAAATTAATCTTGTTGCAAAGCCAAATCACTAAGGCCTCTAATTTTGTCAAGTATTTGATAGTATCTGGTAATGTGATCACAAGAATGTCTTTTAGAAACAATGTTCAGGGGCTTTTTAGACCTTGCATCCCTTTACACAAACGTAGACTGTTGTAGTTAACTAAGGACAAATATTGAAGGGAACTTGAACATCCAATTCCTTCTTTTGGAAGAACCTTCTCTTGTGTGGTTATTTCCAAGTATCTAAGGCAGATAATCTTTTGTTATTAGGCAACTTCTTAAGCCTAAAACAACCAGCAAAACTTAACATTTGCAAGTTTTAAAGCTCATAAATAGATTCATGGATCTTCTTCAATGAAGAATTCCAAGATAGATCAAGGTACCTCAAATGTCTCAATGTATTGATAGAATTTGGCAACATTTCAAAAAGTATACAATGCAACTGTAGTAGTTTGAGATACTTGAATTAAGACATATCTTCTCTAATAAATGATCCAATAATATGTGCCTCTCTGTATTTTTGTGCTGTTGGAAAAAGAATGCTTCAAACACTCCTTGAGTTATCAATTATGAGTTGTAGAAATTCTTGACCACATAACTCTGTGTCCCCATGTGAAAAATGGTGAGATTTCGCATCAACATTTTGGCTTCCGAAATTTATGAATGCGGACTCACCTTTTATCATTGATATTGCAAGATCATGCATTTTAAATGCAATACAAAAACCATAATCTAAGAAATCCTCTAAGAAACCCCTTGACCATAAAACTTTCATATATTGATTAGCAACATCTTCTAGCTCTTCAGTTTTATCAGAGGTTTTAAGAAGTCCAAGTGCCATCCAATATTGGGCTATGTGACCAATGTAATATTGATAATCCTTTGGAAACAAGCAAATATAAGTAAAACATCTCTTCAAGGGAGATGGCAAATGATTATAGCTCAATTTCAATATTGGTAAGATGTCTTCATTATCTTGATCCATCTGCCATATGTCGTTTCTTTTTATTTTCAACCACTCACCTTCGTCCGTGTTTGCATAAAGTAAGCTCCCCCTAAAGATCTCATAGCTGACGAAACTCCTATATATTTTGCTACAATGTCCTCCCCAATTTTAATGAGCCTTTGAAAATCTTTCCCTTCTCCATCTTTGAATGCATACTTCTTAAATAATGACAAGGATTCCTCATTGGAAAGACCTTGCATAAAATGTAAAGGACTAATGCTCATTATTTCTACAACTTTATTACTTCGTGTGCTTACAATAATTTTACTTCCATTGACACCATTCAATAGTAAGTCTTTCAATTCCAACCATTTCATTAGCCTCTTATTCCAGACATCATCTAAGACAAGCAAAAACCTTTTACTCGTCAAAATTTCCTGCAAATGCTTAGGAATTTCATCTCCTTTTAACCTAATACAATCCTCATCTATTGCAGAATTAATAATTTCTTTCATTAATCTGGGGACACGGAAGTCATATGACATGCATGTCCACATCTTTAATGAAAAGAACTAACTTACCCTTTCATCATTGTAAACCATTTTAGTAAGAATGGTTTTACCCGAACCCAATTCCAACTATTGGAATGATAGAGACATCATTGTCGGTTTGTTGTATTAAAAAGCTTATGATCTTTTCTTTATCATGCTCTCGTCCAATAATAAAAGGAACTCCCAGTAAGGGACCAGTTTCCCTCTCCTTTGGAATTACATGCCTAACTTCAGCAAGAATACTCTTAATAAGAGAAAATCTACTCCTATCACCTATGATTTGATCAAGTCTTTTTTTAATCTGCTTGATTTTCTCACTAATTTCATATCGAAAACCAACAGGATTAGAGCTTGAAAAGCATTGACTTACCTTTCTTAATGTGCTCCTCTTTTGTCTCACCACTACCTTCATGGGAGCTTGAAACTCAAATTCTTCTAAAACATCCTTAGTATCAAGGATAACATCCTTAAGCTTCCCAAGCCAGTCATGCAGCTGATAATCTTGTGCCTCCTTTTTCTTAGCATCCAAGAGGATGGCTTGGATAGTGCTTAAGGTTCCTGCAAGGCTTTCTAAGTCACTTTCAAGATTCCACAATGAGGACACTTCCCGAACCACATGAGAGCCTATCCTCGTCAAAAATTCAGCAACAATGTTAAATAGAATTGATTTTGCCATTTTCTCTCAGAAGAAACGAAGAGAGCGAGAATAAACTAGTTAAGATAATTGAATCAGTGATGCAGGGAAAATATCGTTAAATTATGATTTGGTTTAGTATAAAAAAAGTTTAAACAAAACGATGGATTTTTAATAAAATTTCTTTATTAATTGGCACCGAAAGCTTGCCACTTTGATGGACCTTCTGAGAAATCATGGCACTTTTAACTTTTTAAGTATTGATTAAAAAGTAATCCTAGTGTCTCTTGCTTTATTAATTGGCACTGAAAGCTTCCACTTCAATGGTGATCTTTATTTTGGTCTTGTGTTCACACCTTGTGCAGTCACTGGTTGGATTGTTATTTAATTAATTACCTTGTAAAATGGAAGAAAAAGTGATAAGAAAGAAGAGGAAAAGTGATACTAATGGATGAGGAGCCCAATTTTCCCATTATTTTTACAAAATTTATTATACTAATGGATGAGGTCCATAAGGATGCCAATTTGCCAAACATTGGGGGTGTCTTGTAATTTTAAAATATTAAAATTTAAAGCATAATAAACAAACCAGTCCTCAGTTTATGGGCCTGCTCTTAAGTGTAGAAGTAGCAAGCCCCATACCGAGCCCAACAAAAAGCTCGAATAACTAACTGCATATATTTGAGCCAACCCAACCTCGATAACACTGACAAACTTCAGCCAACTATCGCAACCAATTCCTCCGACCGCGTCGATGCTGGTTTTTGGATTTCTGATGGCAAAGACGATATTGAATTGGTCTGAAAAATTTTGAATTGGTTGGCGTTATTGATGATTCGTGCCAGCCAGGGGCGGAGGGAGGGGTCAAGGAGGGTCAATTGACCCTCCTTGACTTTGAAAAATTATCAATATGAGCAATACGTTTATTAAATGATATAATGAATTTTATATATATNGAAGAGAGCGAGAATAAACTAGTTAAGATAATTGAATCAGTGATGCAGGGAAAATATCGTTAAATTATGATTTGGTTTAGTATAAAAAAAGTTTAAACAAAACGATGGATTTTTAATAAAATTTCTTTATTAATTGGCACCGAAAGCTTGCCACTTTGATGGACCTTCTGAGAAATCATGGCACTTTTAACTTTTTAAGTATTGATTAAAAAGTAATCCTAGTGTCTCTTGCTTTATTAATTGGCACTGAAAGCTTCCACTTCAATGGTGATCTTTATTTTGGTCTTGTGTTCACACCTTGTGCAGTCACTGGTTGGATTGTTATTTAATTAATTACGTTGTAAAATGGAAGAAAAAGTGATAAGAAAGAAGAGGAAAAGTGATACTAATGGATGAGGAGCCCAATTTTCCCATTATTTTTACAAAATTTATTATACTAATGGATGAGGTCCATAAGGATGCCAATTTGCCAAACATTGGGGGTGTCTTGTAATTTTAAAATATTAAAATTTAAAGCATAATAAACAAACCAGTCCTCAGTTTATGGGCCTGCTCTTAAGTGTAGAAGTAGCAAGCCCCATACCGAGCCCAACAAAAAGCTCGAATAACTAACTGCATATATTTGAGCCAACCCAACCTCGATAACACTGACAAACTTCAGCCAACTATCGCAACCAATTCCTCCGACCGCGTCGATGCTGGTTTTTGGATTTCTGATGGCAAAGACGATATTGAATTGGTCTGAAAAATTTAGAATTGGTTGGCGTTATTGATGATTCGTGCCAGCCAGGGGCGGAGGGAGGGGTCAAGGAGGGTCAATTGACCCTCCTTGACTTTGAAAAATTATCAATATGAGCAATACGTTTATTAAATGATATAATGAATTATATATATATACAAAGAAAAAAATAGAGAAAGTTTGTATACCTTTTCATATATTTTATAAAATAAATATCGTTTCTAAAATTTGTTTGTCAAATTAAACTACTGTCAATTGTTTTGTGTTTCAATACTTTCCACTTAAATTGCGGATGCTCAGATGGAGAATCGAACCTGAGACCGTGTGCCTATCCACACCATCCCCAATTTGTTCTAACCATCTAGATTACCCACAGATGAGTCAAATCAAAATATTGAAGTCAAGAAAAAAAGATAAATATAAAAAATATGTATTTTGATGCATTATTTTAAGGGGTCGAAACATAAAAGTGAAATTACAACAAAAGTTATAATATTTTACTATAAAAGCTTGATAAATCTTTGAATATTTTATTAGTAGAAATTTTATTGTAGTTTAATTTGGAGGTGTTGTTATTTGTGTTGGCTTAATAACTTGTTCATTAGTAAAATTCTTTGGTTTTGTTTTACACTCGTTAAAGTATTATAAATTTATTTCATCTCGTCAAACACAATCATAAATATATTAATTATAAAGATCATTACAAATAAATACTCATATTTTTATATAACTTATACCCAATATATTTTTTTATTATAAGTTTATATACAATTGCATTATAAAGTTTAATTAACGTCTTGACTAGGGCTGTAAGCGAGTCGAGTCGCTCACGAATGAGCCAGGTTCGACTCAACAAAAGTCGAGCCGAGCTTGAACTTGAGCTCAAGCGACTCGAGTACCCTCTCGAGCCGAGCTACTAACCACCCACTACTCGGCTCGATAGGCTCATAATAGCTCGAAAGGATATAAGTGCTATTTTTTTAAGTATCAGGGGGTTATATGTAATTTACTATATCCTATATAAATTATCCCACTTCCTAAACCCTATCTTCTTTCTCCAGCACTAACACTTTCTCCTTCCCTTTTCATCTTTTTTCTCCTTCGTCTTTCTTCTCCTCCTTTTTCCTTCTTCTTCACCTTTCTTCTTACTTCTCCTTCGCTCTTCCATCTATTTCCTTCTCCCTCTTTGCTTTTCTTTTCTCTCCTTTTCTCTTTTCTTCTATCTCTCACAGTCGATGGAATTTTGAGTCATATATTTGTGGCTGTTTGGCTTTGGATCTGATGATGGTTGGTGAAGATTATTGGGTTGGCTTTGGATTGAGGCTATTTTGAAGGATTGTTGGTGGATTGCTTTGGATTGAGGACTCATAAATGAGCAGTTCGCGAGCTGAACTCGATCTCAAAATATTTAATGAACTTGAGCTTCAAGCTTGTTTTTCAGAGCTCGTCGAACCCAGCTCAAGCTCAAGCTCGTTAAATTTTCATGAGCCAAGCTTTGAGCACCTTAGTGTTCGGCTCGGCTCGGCTCGGCTTGTATACAACCCTAGTCTTGAACCCCCCTAGAATGAGTTTCTAGCTACATCCCTAACTATGAGAAAACTTAAATATTGCATCAAGGTTAGGGTTTATTATCATGTTTTAAGAAACTAATATTACAAAATCTCATAATGGTGGCCGAGGGAATTATGAAAATATATAAATAGGATTTAATTTATAAATCATATCTTTGAGGATGTGTTTGGTTCAGGGAATGTTGTATTATTAGGAATGTTATATTAATGGAAAAATAGATTACTTTGGAGATTACTGGGAATGTTTAGAAAAATGTGTTTGGTTGGTTGGAATAAATTGGTGGATATGTTATATTAATAAGCTTGGTTGGGAGGAATAAATTGGTGGGTATGTTATATAGATTTCTAAATTGTTAAAATACTAATATATTACTATTTTTTGAATTATTTATTTTAACCCCCTACATTTGAGATTTTGCTAAAACACCCTAGTCACATAAAAGTTTAATTTTTAACAAAAACGCCTACCCCCACCCAAGGCACCGCTGGCCGCCTAAACCACTACCTGTCATCGATCAGGAAGTGCAACGGAGATGTTCTTGGAGGGGTTTTGAAGAGGAGGTGAAAGGGAGTCGATCGGTGCAAGTAGGGGTGATTTCTGGTAGAAAAAGCGACTGAAAAGCAATAAGAAAAAGAGAAATCGTGCAGAAAAACAATGGGCTTGGCCAGCGATTGAGGGCAGCTTCGGTGATGGGTTTTGGTAGGTTTTGAAGAGGAGGTGAAGCAGAGTTGATGGTGCAAGTGGGGGTGATTTTCGGTAGAAAAAGCGACCGAAAAAGCATCGAGAAAAGGGGAAATCGCGGAAAAACAGTGGGTTTTGTTGGCGATTGTGGGCAGCTCCAATGATGGGGTTTAGTGGGATTAGAAGAGGAAAACGAGAGGAGTAAGATGGTGGTGGTTGGGGCCGACGGTGATGCCGGAATCAGCCTAGATTGGGCTTAATATTGGCGGTTGACCAACTCAAAAAATCCTAAACCGACGGCCATCAATATGGCTGGAAAATGCCATATTGGTGCACGGGCCGCCAGATTTGACTACTCGTGAGTCATTCCAATGACATTGGCTGACGACGGTGGCCGCCGATGGTGGTGGTGGTGGTGGCCCTCTTGCGTGGCTTGTAAATTGTTTTTGAAACCGGGGCACTACCATCTAGAACTTTAATTATTCAGGGGTAAAATTGTAATGGTAAAGTTTATGTAAATTAATTTCAAATTAAGGGCATTATTGTCGAAGAAATTTAACAGTGAAGGGTAAAATTGTAACAAAAATAAGATTACCAAATAATCTTACAATACCTAAGAAAATAGAGGTAATTAGATTACTTTCTATATTGTCAATAGTAACTACTATTGGTATAAGAAGATTACCAGAACCTTATATTACTTGACAACTAAATGTGATAATCAAGTAATATAAAATGACATTATTTCAGTAATCTTATATAACCTCCAACCAAATGCCCTGTTAGTGGGAAACAAAAAGACGTTAACCCTAGAATGCAGTAGCCATCCTCCGCACATAAAACTGTGACATACATGTAACTACCATCTTTTGCGCTATCTTTCTAAATTTTCTATTAATTTCTCTCTCTGATGGTGTGGGTGATGAGTAGTAAATTAATATAAAGGGATCATAGATAGAGTGAAACTTGATAACAAGGGTAAATGATGAGTTAATATGGTTTTGTATGTTATAATAAAAGTGGGGAGAGACGGAGAGTGACTTTTACGTCTGAAAAACTCTCACTGACCATAAATAAAGCTAGGAAGAAACAGA